ATTAAAATGAAGGAGAGAATCCTAGAAGTAGCAAGAGATAAGGGGACAGTCACCTACAAAGGAGTTCCCATCAGACTGTCAGTTGATTTCTCAAAAGAGACCTTAGAGGCAAGAAGGGGCTGGAAAGAAGTGTTCCAAGTCATGAAAGCCAAAGATCTACATCCAAGATTGCTCTATCCAGCAAAGCTTTCATTTAGAATGGAAGGACAGATAAAGTGCTTCTCAGATAAGATCAAATTCAAGGAGTTCATCATCACCAGGCCCTTATTATATCAAATGTTAAAGGGACTTATCTAAGAAAAAGAAGATAAAAAAGATAAACAGTGAAAGAACAGCAAACTCACAGTTATTAAGACCCACACCTAAAACAAAAGGAAACTAAGAGGACAGTTAGATCAGGAGCAGAACCACAGAAATGAAGATCACATGGAGGGTTAGCAACAGGGGAGTGGGAGAAGGGGGGAGAAGGTACAGAAAATAAGTAGCATAGACGGTAGGTAGAAAATAGATGGGGGGGAGGGCAAGAATAGTATGGGAAATATAGAATCTAAAGAACTTGAGACACGTGGTCATAAACTAAAGGGGCGGAATGGTGGGGGAGGGGGTGTGCAGGGTGGAGGGGAATGAAGGGGGGAATAGAACAACTGTAATGGCATAATCAATAAAATATGTTATAAAAAATAAATTATAGTTAGTATAACCCCCTCCTAGATGTTCATGAATCTTTGATATTTATGGTAACGTATGCCCTTGTCATTTTTTGTACCTAACAATAGCTTCTTGTGTTATTAGGAACCTAAGAATAGGCCCTTGGGTGTGTTTGTACATGGGTTTTATTCCTTATGTAAGTTGGGCCATCTTATTAACACTATTTGGTTGCTAAAGAAATAATCACATTATAACCAGAGATCCAGAAAACCGACTCTTTGGACTTCAATGACAGATTCCATCTTCATTTTACTTTATTTTTTAAAAAGGAGTTAGATACACATATACGTTGAGAATCCATTTATTTATTTGTACATTGGCCATTTTATATATACTTCTGGCTTTGACAAAACTATTTAACATAGAGTTTATGAAATTATCCCAGTTATTAAAAATCATTCTCTAGCCCTGGCTAGTATGGCTCAGTGGATTGAGGTCTCGCCTGTGAACTAAAAGGTCACCAGTTAGATTCCCAGTCAGGGCACATGCCAGGTCCCTGGTAGAGGGCATGTGAGAGGCAACCACACACTGATGTTTCTCTCGCTCTCTTTCTCCCTCCCTTTCCCTCTGTCTAAAAATGAATAAAAACCTTTAAAAAAATCTTTCTCTAAATCTTAGAATTTCTTCAGTTCTCTTCCAGCATTCAGATAACTTTTTCCCTTTAGAGTAAACACTAATTTTTATCACTTATGCATTCTACTGACTCTGAGTACTTGAGCCTCTTCCTTGGCAGAGTTGGCCTGTAGGACAGCCTCTTTTATGCATCCTTGTCTTCCTGTTCTAGGATCTCCAATGAAAGCATCTCACTTCTCCTTAGAGATATCTCTAAATATATTCCCCTTGCCTGTCATTATTGCTTAGTTCTATAAAATGCTTGAGTTTCATTACAAAGATCAAGAAGCAGACAACAAACATGCGTACCATGGCCAGCCACATGACCTACTTGTCAAACAGTGCAATTACAAATGGCCTGTGAGTTAAAATTTTAGTGAATGACAGCATCATCATTCAAGATTTCACCTTTCCTCTCAGTCTGTTTATACTACAGAAATGTGTTGCTTTTTGTTTTTGAGAGGACATCAATTTGACCTCTCAGAATTAGAGATGTTTTAAAAGTAAAAAGAAATAAGCCAATGGCATTGATTATATGTAGCAATTGATGCAGCAGACTGGGGCTGAAGGAGACAAAATTTTTTTTAAGTTAGCTGGAATTTTTGTTTTTATTATTAAAATTTTTATTTATTTATTTTTTCAAGAGGAGTAGGGAGGGAGAGAAACATCAATGTGTGTTCGCCTCTCATGAGTCCCCTACTGGGGACCTGGCCTGCAACCCAGGCATGTGCCCTGACTGGGAATCACACCAGCAACCCGTTGATTCACAGGTGGACACTCAACCACTGAGCCACACCATCCACGGCTGGCAGTTTTTTTTTAAGTGGTGAGATAGACTATTATTGTTGTTAAAGGTTTCATTTTATAAAAAGAAATCATTTTATTTTAATTAATTGATTTTTAAAGTTTATTGATTTTAGAGAGAGAGAAACATCCATCCATGGCTCTACTCATCCATGGATTTATTGGTTGACTCCTGTATGTGCCCTGACCCGAGATGAACCCACAACCCTTTTATATTGGGATGATGTTCCAACCAACCAAGCTACCCGGAGACAAATCATTTTAAAGTGAAAAACAAGAATGACGGAAAAGAAAAGGGGCAAGAGATTGAGGGAATGATTTAAGAATAATTGTGTATATTTAAGAAAAAGGGCCTCCTTCCTCCCTTGTGATCTTCGTTTGGTGAAATGGCAAACAAAAGCCAGCAAATTGGGAAGGAAGCAGGAATTCCTAGTTAGTGACTGTTAGGTTACAATATTTAAGATCCATGAAAATTTATCTTTCTGTTACATTTTAATGCTTTCATCTCCTCCCAACTTGTTTTTGTCCTTCCCCTTAAATTTCTTAAGTTATGATTTTTCATCTCAATATTTCCTAAGGATGCAATTAAATAAAATTTTGACAGCATATATTGTGATATGATTATGCAAAACTAGGTTAAATTTTGAATCTTGTGATTTGGGGGAAACCATTCCAGAACTTATTTAATCACTTCCTATGCCAGTGCTGCCCCACTCCTAAGCCAGGACCCTTTCCCTCCTCTAGGCAGAAAACTGAACAAATTTAGCCTTGAATAACAGAACGAAGGTAAAAATAAGGAATCCTGTTTTGCCCTTGTATCTCCTCTATTCCTTATAGTTTACTTCCTTGTTGAAAATATGTTAGAAGACTTTGTTGAAATAAAATTTTTATTTTGTGCTTATATTAGGAAAGCAGGTTCTAGGACTAGGAAGTGAAATTATCTCCTGCACAGAAGCGGTGGGATTTTTCCAAAGATGACTTGTTTTCCAGAAATGCTTTGCGTTTTCAGCCATAATGGCTTTGGTCTTTGCATTTATTTACTTGTATTTATTTTTATTTTTTGCACTATGTCATAGTTCCAGAAAGTGCTAAAAAAATTATTGTGTATTTAAGACAATCCAGAAAATCCCCTTGTCCTGGGGCTGTGTGAAAAAGAATAAAGAAAGCTCATTTTCCCAGTATCCGGTTATCAGCTTGAGGTGGCTTCTCTTAGGAACACAATTTATTGAAGCAATTTATCCTGGCTAAATGTGATATAAATCTGTGTACACCTATGTACATACAGGCTCTCTTCTATTACAGCAATAATGCACAGCATCGGTTTCTTCATGTTAGACCCTGTTCCTATCACACTGAAAAGTGACTAAGAAGCCCTTCTTTCTATTTTACAGGCACCACACAATTTTAAGCACTGATTGGTTGTGTAAGTTACTAATCAAACTATTAGAAATACTGGTTTCCAGCCCCAGAGTGAGCCTTAAGAAGAGATGTTGCCTAGGTACCCTGTGAGTTTTCAGAATGGTTTTCTGATGATCAGATCTAGTCTAGCACTTTAAAATTTTATTTTAACACAGGCCTAACTGAGGTTAACCTGATATTTTGGTTTATCTCCAAGATAAAAATGTGAAATTTGGTCACAATTCTGAAGGTTATTTCTAGGCATATTCAAATTGCAGTTCTTTCCTGTTCGCCTTCTCTTGTTCATATTCTTTCACATACCTTTCTCTCAATAGAAAGTTATTGAAAATGTCCTTTAAGGGTTTATTCTATAAAGGTTGTTTTTGTGTCCCTCCCTTTATCTTCCATCCTTTCAAACAACTGGTTTATCTTTTTTTGCATTTCTAGTTTTTATTCATCTTCACCTCTGTTTTTATTTCTAGGAGAGGGGTAGGAAATTTCCCCAACATGTTCACATTGGAATAGTTCTTTGACAAAGAATTTTGATCAGTATTGTAAGAGTTTAGCTTCAATAATTAAAAAACAACAACAGCATAAACCCCGTTAAATTCTTTAGAGAAATAGAGAGGATGAATGGTGATGCCTTTTAGTGCCATTTCCTTATCCCCTGCAGCAGCACACATCTGTTGGCTGCACCCGAGCAGCCCAAGAACTCTGGCCGAGAGCAGCACAAACAGCCGGAACATATTCACCCAGTAAACCCCCAAAGAGTCGACATTTGTTTTATTGCTGCTTTTAAAAACCTAGCCATAAATAGAATCAGAGGGGGAAGGGCACCGATATTTCTCCATTTGCCACAGACAATTGGTAGGGGGAGAAGGAGGCTCCCCATGGGGAGAGGTTTTTTATTTTTATTTTTTATTAATGAAAATCATTTCTCGTGTAGCTCAATAGGATGGGTGCTTTGTTTTCTTTGGCAATAATCTGGGATAAATGGCCCTTGCCAGCCATCTCCTAGTTTATACACTAGGGAGCCAGATTATAGCCCTGTAAAATGGAGCACCCCTCCTGTAATCCCTTAATTAATTAAATGACAAATTTTTGTCTTCTCTAGTTCAGAAATATGGCTTCCGCATCAAGCGTTCAGTGGATTTATTGACGTGGGGAACTGCACTGGTTGTAATTTAGCAGACTGGAGAAGTGTGTTTTATACTGTAGCAAAAAGAGGGAAAATCTAGCAAAAGGTTTGAAATTCCTTGACTATTTAGGTCTAAATTTTTCTAATTAAAAATTTCAATTGAGGCACTATAGATCATATGCCATCTGTCTGATGTGTCTCCCCATTGTAGCCTGTGTTTACAGCTTTGATAGATGGCATTCTTGGAACACCTGTTACTAAGCTTGATATTTTTGAAGCACTATTTTTTTAAACTCCAGCATATTTAACATAACTTTTCCCCCTACCTTCTCCTCCTCAGCTCCGCTCTTCTATATGAAATATGGGAGACGACAGACCGTTTGTGTGCAATGCCCCAGGCTGTGGACAGGTACGTTTACAATATACTTTATTGTGAATGTCTCGTTGTGAATCAAAGTGGCTGTTTTATCACTAAGGCAAAGAGTTTAAAGCTGGTATTTTACGTGATCACTGGAGGTAATCAGATCAGAGGATTTGCAGTGTGTAAATCCAAGTTATGAGGAAGTATAGGCACTCTACCATAATGAAATCTGCCTTGCTCTCTTTCATATTGTTATTCTACTGGTGTTTGTTTCCCAACACAGAGTGTTGAGGAATACATGTTGTTCTCTCCTCCTTTCTAAACTTATCCATCTAAATACAAGGCAAATTTTAAAATATCTTCTCCTCAATTTTCATGGATATAAAAGTCAGTTCAATATATTTGGATAGGCAGCCAAGATTGCATGCATTCATTGTTAACCCCAATTTGCCAGAGTCTGTTTCGGTTTTTTAAATTAAAAAAAAGCTTCTTTTGACTGTTGATCCAGAAAATCATTGTTAGCAGCTAAGGCAGATAGATATCTAAGTAGGAAAGACAAATCCAACATAGAACCAGAGATCTCATGGCAGTATATATAAACTATAAGACTTCTCAGCCAGTTTCCCTGCTGCCACATTCTCATTTGCATGTTTATATTATATGTCAGGTATTTTTCATCATATACTTTTTTAATAAAGTAATTTTTTGAAATTGCCTTTTCCCCCCATTTTGCACCTTCTTAACTCTTCTTCCTAGACTCCCCCATCTCCATGTTCTACAAAGGATGAAGAAAGGAATACAAAGAAATTTTTATCTGCCTTCATGAATTGAATTTATAGAACCTGAAGGGCTGAATTTCTGTTCAGTTAGAAATATGTCATGTGACTGTCCAGTGACACTTACTGGTGGTATGTGAGATTGCAGACTAGTTCTATTAAACATTGTAAATGCTTAGACAAAAAGAAAACGAAATTAAGTTCCCGAGATTCCTCCTAAGAATGGGAATTTGAAAGGTGAATGACATGGGGGTGGTGACAAGGAATGGGCAGAAGATGATTTTAAATTCCAGTAAATGCTGAAATTTTCAGAAAAGACTAAAATAGCATTGTGTTCTGAAGTATTCAGCATTGTAGGGTGTACTTCCTTCTTTGTAAAAGTTTGTTGTTGACCGCATGCTTTCCCCATGTAGTTTATATTTTATTTTTTTACAGTAGAAGCTACTTGAGAAAATAGGTAAATTTCATTTTTCAGACAGCTTTATTGGAGTACATATCTGAACCTGATCCAAAAAAAATTTTGTGTAAATTTATTGATAAGAGTATTTAATCTGACTCCCATAATTGATACCTGGTACTTTTTTACTTTTCTCCTTTACTTTAAAAATCTGCATTTTTGATGAAAGGATTTATTTTTCCCATACTTACATTTATTTTCCTTCACTTATTATTTAAAACACTCAATGCCTGTAACTGCTCTTATATATGTATGCTTAAAACCACCCAGACAAGGACTTAAAGAAATAAAAATGGGTAATAAAGGCATACATAGGAAAAGCATCTCTTAAGCTCTCTGAGAAAGATCTAAATATGGTTTCTTCAGGCTATCTCATTGGAAAAGAGTAGTTTTCACTGAAATTTGAGAGCTCCCAGAAGGGTTTTGTGTTTGTCTCTTTGTTTTCATTTTGCATTTTGGACTAGAGGTTGTAAAACAGTAGGTACTTCTTACATGGTTCCTTATATTGTTGGGCTCTATTTACCATAAGTCTTTTTCTTCCCCCACTTCTCTCCCATTTCTGAATTATTTATTAGCATTTTGATTATTAAGATTTATTATAACCTCTGGTATAGGTTCTGAAGACATTTTTTCCCTCAGTGAGTTGTGTAACTCAGTGAGAAGGGAGACTGCTTTTAGAAATTACTTGTTTTATAGAAAAAAGATAGAAAGGTACAACTTAGGCTTTGAAGGTAGTCTGATTTTTTTTTTTACACCTTCTTGCTTCCTAACACTTTATGGTGAGGTGAAATTGTAGTTCTTTAGTTATATTTTAGTCTCATTCCAAGTTTTCCCCAATATCTGGTAACAACTATAGAGTGGGATCCCTGCAAGATTTACTATTATATGAAATAGTGAAAATCTGGCATAGAAGATGAATTTGGTACAGTGAACTAGCCTTGCCCAGTTATCCAAATTCTTTATATCCCTTGGAAATGGTTTTATTCTGGAGCCACACTAAGACTTTCAAGCTGTTTATAGTCCACTCTCATTGATTCGAATTCTTTATTCCAGAAATGGTAGGATGATAAAAAGGCAATGTAAATTCCAGGAAGGATAATAAGGACCGTGATAATTTTTGCTAGCCATGGTTTAGGATTTAATGCTACAGAATTCTCAAAAATCAGTGGCTTCTACCAGTTAAAAGAAGAAAGAATGAAAACAAATGATAGTTCAAGATACTGGTCCTTAAAAACCAACCAACAAACAAAAACTATAGGAATCTTGCATTATTTCAATATGTGTTGCCTGCCCAGTCTTTACCTTATATACCCGAAAACTCAGAAAACATCTTACGCCTTAATATTAAGGGAAGTTGAAAGGAAAATTCACCTAAAATAGACTAGTGGATTATGCTCTCCACCATATAATCAAAACCACCAGGCTTTCAATGGATACATAAACATGTTTTGGTTGCTAGGTCTTTAATGGCTGTTATTTTTGGATTCTGTTCATGATCCACTTCCCAACAGTAAGTCTGATGTGACACAGCTGAGTTCTAAATATGCTGCCTGTATTTTTTTTAAGAAGGTGGCTGCTAAAGGTTGTGTTCTCTACATTCTTATCTGAAAAGACAGATGATGGGTTTTTTGAGCCCTCTCATTGCTTTTTTCCTATTGAGACTCTTTCTCTTGAGGCCTCATCACTCTCATGAAGAGGAATTCGGGAAAAGCAATATTCTTGTTAATACCTCTCTGTGGAATGTGGCAGCAGTAGTAGTTAATAGAGCTGCCTCCAGAGAATGGGCTAGTGTTAAGGCAGTAGTGCCCCAGATTCCCTGTGGCAAAGGACTGGTTGAATTTGAGTTCTGTGGGTTTTTGATGTTTATAATATAGGTAGCATATACAGGGTCCGGCACAGATAATGCCCCTGTTTTATTTTAAAATCTCTTATTATAAAATCATAAGCGTGTAATTCTATAACATAATGATATCACACTCAGACACACCATATGACATTTTAGGGGAAATGTTCAAATTAAAACTATAAATTGTTACATATATATTGTTACCCTACCAACCACACTCAGGTAGGCATTACTTCTTCCAGACCCTGCGTTTTTAAAATATTGTGACAATAAAATGAATTTGTTTATGTGATATTGTTAAAATAATAATAATATGGTTCATTGCTGAATGTAGCATATCTTATAAATTTTTAATGCTTTGGGGGGCTCTTTGGCTTGAAAGTGGATTATTAAATTGTTGTATTAAATGTGGAAGTAGGAAAAATTACTACGTATCTGTCATTCATCTTGAATTTGAGATGTTATTTCATGTGGGTGCAGTTAGATAACTTACCTTTTGGGTGTTTTTTGTCCAATTTTTATTATCAGGAGTCAACCAATTCCATATTTCTATACTTCCTCTCAAGCATAGACACTGGTTTGCAATACAAATTATATTTAAGTAGTTTTTTTGGTTATCACAATCAAGTCTTTGATCAGAAACTGGTCATACAGGCTTATTACTTAGAATTTCTATTTCCATAAGAACAAGAACACATTTTATATGAGGAGATAACTACTTAATGGATAGTTAGTGTCATTCCATTATTAGCCATTGAGAAAGGTTTCTACAATAACAACTCTGTATCAACTTTGTTCTTTTAAGGAAAACTCTTTGATTGTTTCTTTGTCCAGTATGACCCTGAAGGGCTGTTACTTTTTTTCCCCTCTGAGAATACTACTAGATATTTTCTTCTCCCAGAGGACATTTAGGTACAAGTTGGAGCTCTGTTCATACCTTTCTGAGACATGAAACATATAACTAGTTCATAGACCTCCAGGGCCTGTTTTCCTTTTGTAAGGCCAAGAATAGCAGTAGAGCCCTAGTTGTGTTGGGAGTGAGGGCAGCTTCTTGTACTTCCTTATCTTGTCATATAGTAGGAATAATGTTTATGATGCTGTAGTCCTGGCTTCACTTGGCATTTAGCCAACCTCCAATACTGTTTATTGCTTCATATTCTCTGCCTCCATGAACATTATCCCTTAAATCTCTATTGCTTTGTAATATATGAGGCAACAAATAGCTTCTATGATTGGTTAAATGCTGGCATGTTACAAAGGTATATGTTTTATTGCCTATGTAACACAGATCTATAGAGATTATTCCCGTTATCCCAGTCTTCCCATTAAATGGGCCATACTGGTACTATGGGACTCTAGATTTTTAACTTTGTCCCTTTGGCAAGTTTTCCTATTACCTAGCATTAGCACAAAAGAAAAGCAAGGAAGAATGTGTTAGTGCTGATTACTGATTCTTTATGTTAAGGGAGCATTGTGAATTGGAAAAGAAATGTTCCGTGTAGGCAAATGCCATTTGTGGTGGTATATGCTATCTTTACGTGCTTTGACAGGTGATGGGAGTTTCAGGCAAACAAATAAGCCTTTCTTCCTCACCCACTGCCAAGAGTTTTAAAAAAATTCAAATTTTATTTAATAATTCATACTTCATTCAATAATTCATCTAGTTCCCATCTGGTAAGAGTGCCTGCATGCTGTCAGGCAGCTGAAAATACACTGCATTATACACAATTAGGCCAAATGCTAACCTTGTTTTTTGTAATAATATGTTGATTTTGCAATAACTCTCAGTTCACTCTGAATATGCTGCAATTTTATGTAACCTTCTGATGGAAGTGGACCACTGTTATTTATTGTGTAGATAAAATTGGGACTGGGGTAAAAAAAATGTAGAGGTTTTAAGAACAAAGAATTAAATCCAGATTTTTAAATATCAGACCCGGTACTCTTGACACTTGTCCTTAGAAACATG